TTAACTCTAGATTTTTCCTGTAGAAATGGAAATGTCATGCAATATTGAATATGTGAATTAAAATCGGGTAAAATTATTTTAAAACAAACCTAAAACAATATAATCTATTCCCATAAGTTCAATGTACGTTTTCTCTATTTCTCCACAGGGATGTAACTAGAAACGCGTCGTCAATATGATAATAAAAATATGAATGCTTTACTTTGACACTAGGAATATTTGAATAATAGGGCACTGTAATAGTGAATTTTCTTTAAAATTATATTTGTCTCAAATAATGTTCATGTATTGGAGTTTCTTCAACCGGCGTTCAAGAGAGATCTCAGCGAGGAATGAAGACAATCTGTATTTCGTTAGTTTTAATGTTTGTTTTACATAATAAATACTCGGCAAGTTAGAGCAAAATCTTATATAATTATTTTTTGAAGTTCAATTTCAAAAATATTTGTCACTAATGGGGTATCTCACGATAATTTTCAATACTAAAGCGTTCAATAAATTATGTTTGATACTTCAACTTCATAAATTAGTAGAAACATTTTTGTTAACCAGTCAATAACTGATATTTATGCTCCAAAGCTGTGTCTGCATATAGAAGAACAATATATTTCGTAGCTCTGTTGAGCAGCTTTTCAGGTACACGTTTATCTCTAAATTATGCCTGTGAGTCGGTATTATTACGAAGCAAAAAAATATTATTTCAAAGCACAACCTTGTTGGAAATTATGAGCTCCAATAATGGCTAAAAGACCTGCCGTTGCGGACAGTAAAAGCCTAATTTTATGATTCATAGTGTGATGAGGTCCTTGAAATAAAATCACCATAGAGTGGAAATCGGTGTTTTTAGAAAGTGAAATGTACGTGAAGCATTTCACTTTCTAAAAACTGCGATACCCCATTCCGTACGAATCCTACGGACACAACTTTCTACGGCCGTACCTTTCTTCATAAATTTTCTCCCTATATCGAAAGGGTGATTTTTTAGATTTTCAACATTTCTGAAAGATATAATTTTTTATTATCATAGGAAAATGATTAATTTGACAGCAAGGAAGTGATACTGCATCCACATTAAACGCTGTAATCAATATTATGGATGTGAATTCGAGAAATCACAATTACAAGTCATTATTTTATATGTTAAAATGCTATATATGCTTAATGATATGATAAATCAAGGGAAACGAGTCATAAATATGCTAAATCCAATTCGGGGGAACTCTCAGTTATCAAAGAAAACAAAGAAAAATATATACAGTACCATGATAGAACGTATTGTCACATACGGCTCGGAAGTATGGGAACTAACCCCAAAAGCAAAGACATTCCTGACGATTCAATGGGCTTTTGTACGATGGACTTTTAAGTCGAGGTTGCAGAATACCTCGTTTACACCACATACGCAATGAAGAAAGAAAAGAGAAAATGAAAAGTGTATAATAGATACTGTAGAACGAAAACAGCTTCAGTGGTACGTACATCTGCTGAGAATGCCAGAAGAGAAGTGGTCCAAACAAGAATTTAAATGGATACCTCCGTACAGGAGACGACGGGGCAGACCATCAACCCCATGGAAACAAGGAATACTGACTGCGATGATAAGAAGAAATTTCACAATGGATGATGTAGTGGGTAGAGAAGGAATCCAGGAACATAGGAATAACCCCAGATGTAAACCACTCTGTCTAATATATATAATTACAAATACATTTTCTGCCATCCACCTTAAAGACCAAATCGTCTGGCGAATCGAGTGGAAGAAACTCCGGCCTGTTGAGACGTGCATTCATTCAATGCTTTAGGATATTGGTGACATCCTTGGAATTCACCTCAATTATGGTCTAGAGGGCAAGCGGATCGGAGGAAAATGTAGTGTTCAGTTCATTGTGCAATGTGCATTGGGACTTATCTTGTCCAATCAATTTCCTCTTTCTCCTGAGTCACTTGACCGTGCATACATCACCACTTCAAGTACCATTATTAACAATTTCACTTGATTCACTGTTGTCAGCTTGCATCTGATTTTCTGCGAATTCAAAAGTTTATAGAAAATTACAAATCGAATCTTTTAACCGATCGAATCGAATCTTGTACCAATTCATTTACAGTATGCAAAACAAAACCAAATTTCCTTATACTCTACAGATATCCAAACGACATTGAACTTAGCAACTATTTACTTATCGCAATAATCACTTAAGATGACAATTTGTTACATCACCTACCAAAAACCACTTCATGACCTCAGTGCTACTTCGATTTTAGAACCACAACAGTTCCAGTGGCCATTGATGCAACTAGGGCGTTTCAACAATCAAGGAAGTGAGACATGCATTCAGTATGCACAAGTCTTTCCGCATTGTCCCTTATCGTCTTAGCTCATTCGCTCTGATGTGGCTGTCAACGTCACACCGTAAAGCAAACTGCTCCCACTGTGCTGTACATCTCGCAATTATGACAATCTGTTTGCATCATAATCGATTTGCACCGTCTCCTCTACACCCTCGCGTTAATCTTCTGATATATCTTATCTCAATCTAACCAATAACATTGTCTCCACTTATCGTCGTATATTATTGAATAAAATGACATTGTAACTTCGTTTGTGGAACAGGGATGATCATAAAACCTTATTCTATTACTATATGCAAACCAAAAATCCTTTTAAAGGAAAAATTATTGCCTTGCTTTGTGAAGTAAATTGCTATGTCTCATATGTTGTAACAAGTTCGAGTGCTTTGAAGAGATATTCCATTTGATATTGCCTCCAATATCCCAGACTCTTATGCCCTTCTTGTAGTATGCTATCTGAAATTTAAAAAAAATTCAATGTTTCCCGTCTGTAGATGCCTATTGTTTTCGAATTACCCTGCCAAAAATTATGTTACATACGAATTTTATTGTTTTGCAATAGATCTTTAGTTTGTCCACAAATTTCATTCACTTTCTATGTTCAGTTATTAAACACACATTTTCGTACAAAGAGAAATAAAAAAGTACTTGGTTCATTATCAGGAATCAAACGAATATATCTCTAATCCATGTTACTTACGTACATAAAATATCTTTCATTTTCTTTCAGCATTTACAACAAATTACATAAAGCTCTTGCAATCTTTTATTTTTCAGTTTATTATTTATCTAAATTCGTGAGATTTCATAAATATTACAATTAAGTAACACACAAAATTGTCTATTAGAGTTCAGCTAAAACTCAGGTATATTTCAAAAGAAAATAGTCTTGTAACTAAACTTACATAAAATCTAAATTATCGATAGATTCTACACAAGCAACACTAGCTGCCACAACTGAAGTAACTTCCTGTCTCCTCATTGACGTACTCACACTGTGAAAATAACTCTTATTATGATGAAAGTAACTCTACAATAACAGCCCTATGAGATTACCTGACGATATTTCGAGCCTACATGTTCCCACACTGTATTGATCTTTTTCACCGAAAGCGCCGCGCTTTGAAAAACCATCAAACACGTTGACGCTCATTTAATGTTTCCCAGAATCGACGCCAAAATATCTTCTGGCGTCGACGTGTAAACACGTATCCCCATTCTCTCCATCTCACAAAAGAGCGCACTTCCTACACGCCCGGGATACGCAGAGGCGTTCTGAGAAAATTAGGGGCAGTTGATCCACCCACATTTTAAACAAAAAAAATTCCCTCCTTCCCCAATTCATCAACATTATTCATTTATTCAAGCATAAGCAATTATCTGTAGCGTTAAAATTAAATTAGAGATAAAACATTGTATTATTTCTTTTGAATAAACAAATGTTTACGGCTCCCAAGTAAGTCAGGGCCTGAGGCAAATTGACCCAGCTCTGTGACTCCCACCTTCTGGTCTCCCCAGAGTGTACGTACCACTTTTACCTGTACGGATTGACGCCATTCTTACTTTAGTGGATTCCGAAAGCGCCCACAGACCGTTCGGGTTACGGCGTTTCGAGCTTAAGAGTACAACATTTTACCTTCATAGATTTAAAAAACGGGTTCCGGTAGAGTTTTATTCCATTTTAACCAGTTTGGCCGGGTTACCAGCGCCAACTGTTGAAATTCAGGCGAACTGCGTTCCTATATTGAAATGAAAGTTAGGTGCCGACTAATATTTTTTTCTATCATGGTTTGTGACAGCTCCACCTACAAGTTTGTGGTCATGTGATGCGATGGTGAGTTTGGTCTCAGAAGCTGTGCAGCGCTGCTGAGCGCGTGAGAGTTTGTTTACTGCCAGCTGATAAGTAGCAAGTAATTTTAATCAAACAATAGTACCTGTAGGTTACGCTATAGAGTAAATACTAAGTTGAAAGAGCGGAGATGCCAGAAGGAGGAAAGAAAAAGTGTATCAGAACTTTGAAGCTGTAGACACCTTTATTTACCCCCCCTCCCCAAAAAAATCACAAATGAAAAAACATTTAAATTAAACCTGAAAACCTTATTTAAACGCAACAAATTTGTTTCAAACAAAAATGTTTTCCTTGTATTGATTAAGAAACTGTTTTTCTTCTGTGACTCCCTCTCATGTATTTTCCGCGAGTGTTGCTCGTACGTTGGCAACGGTGTCTCACTTGGTCGGATCTTGCATCGTTCGCTGCTCATAATTACATTACACACGATAGGAAAAGTGCCAGTTTCACCCATCGGTTTGACGTCTCTCATATTTAATTGCATGCTTAGGGCGCACACTCGCTCTTGAATTTACCCGCAAGGTTTTACTGAGTCTAGTGCCGAACCGAACAACTTTGACTACACAGGTAGCAGATTACGAAACACTACAAACCCGTTTCGTGAAACAAAAAATTTGAAATATTGTTCGTGATTGTTGTAGCCTCTTATTGTGGCCACTACCGCTTGTGATTATTCTCGAATTAAAATATTACCGGTAAAACTCTCCTGTATTCCAAACGAGAATGTTCCTCTTCAACGGAACCTTCAAAACTAACGTAAAATCTTCACTTTCGTTGATACAACAAAACTGTACCCGATATGAGCACTACAGACGTTCAGGGTACGCTGTTCACAAACCCGTATCAAGGAAGGAATTGCGAGTCGTAAGGTTTGGTTCGTTATTTTTTAATCTACGAGATTCTGGCACTTCTCGACCTTCGTGAATACCCAGAGCTTAAAATGTTACAAGTAGAACTCTCTTGTATCTCAACTATGTATGGTCGCCTTTAGCGTAGGTATTGCTGCCACGCGCTCTGCTGTCCTACAGGGGCGAAGCCGTTGTGCCTTCGCAGCGTATACATCAGCTGCCCCCACAGGCATCCTGGTCACCGCCACTGCTTCCGCCGCCACCACCTCCATTGTCGTCCCCACCGCTGCCACCACCGTC